CTAACTTAACTCTGGTGCTGTGTCACATATAGAAATTTTTTGATATTTGCAACCATAGTAAAACAAAGATTTATATTTTTGATATTTATTTTATATATTTAAATGCCATTTAACAAAGAAAAATCAACCAAAAAAATGAGTTCGCGTGTCACCTCTGACATGCGTGTCATAGGTTCGCCATCACCGCTCTAGGTTATGTGTGGGTTGCATGGGATAGGAGCGAACACTAAGGAGTTGTTGCTAGAAGGGACCTTGACAAACATCACTTGCCAGATGAAGAGTAGCAGAGAAGGAAAATGACTTGCCCAAAGCCACCATGTGAGGTCCTGGCATAGCAAAGTCTCCAACTTGGGTCTTCAGGTCCCCACCCACCTTGAGGTTCAGTGTTTGGACCCCAGGGATTCAGGCTATGGGACTGTAAGTGCCTCAGGCCACTCATCAAACCCAGAAGCACTATCAATGCTCCTCCCTACTCTCATCCCCCAGCACCCACTTCCTGCTCTGCAGTCCTGGGAGAGACCCTTCAATTGATTTGTGTCTCCCTCACCCCAGCAGGGAGCCTCTCCAATGCATGTCGCTGTGAGGCACAACTTCCCCTCCCTGGTTCAGCTCCTCATCGATGCTGGCAGTGACCTGGACGCCACCGACAATGTAAGTAGCTACAGGATCCACTTGGTTCCCACAGAGCCTCTGAGCACCCTCCCAGGCTGGCTGGGCTCAGCTACAGTCTACCAGATGGCCCAAAGCTATTAATCGTTTTATAGCTTGATTTGTTGACGGTAGTGGTAGCATCATTTTTATTAACCATTCCCCTATTATTTTGAACATTTTGGTTGTTTTCAAGTTTTCCTACAGTCAACCTTTTCCTTTCATTGACTCCCCCCCACTCCCTCCCCACCCCACAGGGAGAATCCCGAGGCAGGGGTGACTGGGGCAGTCTGTGTAATTACAAGAGGCCTCCGAGTCCTGAAGTTGTGATCAGTCAGGAGCCCTTTTAAACCCCTGTTCCCTCAATCCACCTCCTAACCATGTGTTCCTCTGTGCCAGCGCGCACACACACACACACCACACACACATACCACACACACCACACACACACCACAAACACACACCACACACACACACACACACCACAAACACACACCACAAACACACACACACGCACAGTCCTCTTAATTAGGACAAGGAGGGGACAAAACTTGGCATTTTTAACCAGCCCCCAACCCTACTATAAGTAGCATGTATGGTAAAGGATATTTTTTAGGTTCAAAAAATACTTTCCTTAATTAGTACTAAGCTGATGCCTAAATGTTAGGAGCACCTGGACAATTGTCACACACACACACACACACACACACACACACACCACTAGGGGAAGAAAGCAATTTGGCAGGAGATAGTGTATACCATTAAAATTGTGACTATTTTTACATTTGAGAATTGAGCTTTAAGAAATATATTAAGAGCTCATGCACAAAGATATTCATTGCAGCATTATCAATCTTCAGTGTGAAAATGGGCCAAATAATAATAGAGAAGTGGTTCAATTACAGTATTGACATGGACTATTGTGGAGCTATCAAAAATGGTGGGTGCCGTGGCTGGTGTGACTCAGTTGCTTGGAGCATTGTCCCATACACTGAAAGGTTGTGGGTTCGATTCCCAGTCAGGGCACATACCTAAGTTGTGCTTTCGTTTCCCGGTCAGGGCACATATAAGAGGCAGCTGATGAATGTTTCTCTCTCATCTCACTCTCTCTCTCTCTCTTCCTCTCTCTAAAATCAACAAACATATCCTTGGGTGAAGATTTTAAAAATTGGTGTTTATTAGAGTTGATAATATGTGTAAAGTGTTACATTAGGTATAAAAATAGGTGCAAAATGTATGCGTATTCAGGATGGTCTCAAATATGTAAAACCAACAAACAGAACATTCTGCATTTAAAAAAAAAGACTACAGAAATATCATTACAGAGGTTGACTTAGGTGGGCTAGTGAGTAGTATTTTTTTTTTTTGTTTTTACCAACTTTTCTCTGGTATGATGCTTACGATTAAACCCAGCTTACTCTTCCCTCGTAACTTCGTAGAGAACCTTTGTTAAGGCCCAATTGGGAGTGCACCCACCTTGGTCCTATGCTGGCTTTAGGCACAGGCCACCTCTACAAGCGCTTCCATTTCCCTGTCCCTTGATTTCTCTTCCAGAGGCAGCAGACGCCCCTCCACCTTGCCGCGGAGCACGCCTGGCAGGACATAGCGGAGATGCTCCTGGTTGCGGGGGTTAACTTAAACCTGAGGGATAAGGTACCTCTGCTCACAGCCAGCCTCCCATCGAGCTTTCACAGCCACCTGCTTTCAGAGCGTCAGGGCCTCCCCACCTTTACCGACCACCTCGAATGCAGCTTCCTCCAGGAAGCCTTCCTGCTCCATTTCCTTTCCCCGCCTCCTCCGAGGGCCCTCAGCACGCGGCCCTCCCCATTCCTGTTCTCTGGGCCTAGGCTGTGGTTGCCCTCTGTTTCTCGGCCTCATCAGACTCTGAGCACCTTGAGTCACTGGTGGGGACGGGGAAGCTTTTCAGCACATCACGCCTGTGGGGTGACTACGTCCTCAGTGGCTGGAGGTCTGAGAGAGTGAAGACCTGGTATGAGGCTTGTGAGGGGAAGGTTATTTGCAAAAGGCCTTTGGGATGGGGTGGGGAGGGCTGGGCAGGACCAGGCTCTGAGGCTGGGCCTGGGAGGGGCTCCCTGCTTTGAGCTGGGCCTCCGGGCCACTGCCCAAACTAGAAAGGAGCTTCCCATCCCTGGGGGTGGTGGAGGCCAGCCCTGATTGGGAGGCCTGGATCACAGGGCTGGGGGCATTTGGGGAAGTGAGCAAACTTGACTCAGGGAGCCCAAGCCCCTTCTCTGGGCTCTGGTTTCATCTGAGAAACGGCCAGCTATTTCCCCGGTGGTGTAGGAGTGGTATGCAGGCTGCATTGCATAAGCACTAAGGCTGCCTAAGTTCTAGAGAACACAGGAGGCGGTGGCTGGAATTATCGTTATTGCTTATTCCATCTGTGACTTTTCCACCTCCCTCCTCATGACCGGAAAGCCTTCCTACTCTCCAGTGTAGATGGCTGGAAACCGCTTCCTTTGGGCGGCCGGGTTTGTAGTCCCGGCTAGAGATCACCTACACCCCTCCTGTAGACACTCCCGCTTCCCTCCTCGCTTCTGCTTGCAGCAAGGGAAAACCGCCCTGGCCGTGGCCGCCCGCAGCAACCACATCAGCCTGGTGGACATGATCATAAAAGCTGACCGCTTCTACCAGCGGGAGAAGGTACCGGGGCCCTGCGCCCTGGGAGCCACCTGGGCTCCAGGTGGAGTCTGCTTCGACCAGTTCAGGGGCCCCTCGGCTTCCACGGCGGCAATAATCGCTGCCTTACCTGCCAGCAGGGCTGTTTGTGAGGGTGTGAGTTGGGGAGCGTCCACACCAGTGTGGAGAGACTACAGGCCGCTGCTATGGCTCCTGGCGGGTGGACGAATAGATGCGTGCGTGCGTGTGTGGGTACAGAGATGGCTGGTTGGCCCTGGATCACTGCCATCTCCGGGTGGTTGCAATTACTGCTTGGGGTGGTGTATGAGGCAACTTCCTCAGCCTAGGAGGAAGGTGTGCTGGGAGCGATTAGTGATGTCTGCTGTGGAACTGGGAAAGAAGGGTGTGTGATGTGAGGCCGGGCATTTGCTGTTCTAGTTGTCAGCAAGTGGGGGTGGGCAGGGGTTTCTGGTGTCTTTGAGGGTGGTTTATATACACAGGAAATGATTTCTTACATTTACTTCAGTTTTAAAAAATAATGCTAAATTTATTATAACTTTAAAAAACTATTTTTCTGTAAATTTCAAATTTATTTTATAAATCTTATTATTCTATTTAGACATCCTAGTAAATTTGAACAGTCACTTTCAAAGAAGCCTTTTGAATAGTGT